TCTCTCTCTCTCTCTCTCTAGTTTCTAGTTTTTCTCCCCAGTCTTCCTACAGCTGCACCTCATAAGAAGATCTGCTGTGCACTTGGCTCAGACCAGTGGCTCCCAACATGGAGCTTCAACTGGGGCCGAGTGGCAGCATTATGTGTGTTTGTGCATCTACGGTACATTTGTGTGCGTATAAAGTTGCTCAAAGAGTATGCCTCTGCCTCTCTGTGTTTGCACAAGAGAGCATATGTTTAAACCGTGTGTATTTTCCTTCCTCTATTATCCATCAACCACTCTTTCGCATTCAGTCCTCCATTTTTTCTTTCTCATACTCCCCACATCCCAATTATCTCTTGTGCCTTTTACTTAAAATGGGCTATTTATTTTGTTAAGAGTCCTCTTGAAACCTCTTTGGTCAAAACAGTGGCTGCCTCAGCTTGCCGGATCTTCTTGAAAATACATATATATATTTTTCAGCCCTGGTCATTTTGGTAATTAGATTTAGCGCAGGGCTTATATTGATCGAACGATATCTCTATGTAATGAAAAGCTTTTACAGGACATAGCTATTTATAGTGCGATCCATAATGTGTTGCCATACGACGGGGGGGGGGCCCTAATGCACATCGGCCAGGCTCCTGTGCATAAATCGCCAGCGGAGGTATGAAGTCAGAGCCCAATATAAGTAGCTCCGTGATGGAGGAGTGGTGGGTCGAAATGACAGAGAAGAGGGGAGAAAAGAGAGATGGAGTGGAAGGAGAGATTAAAGAACAGATAAAGGATCAGGTGAAAGAGGGAGGAAGAAGGGGGGGAATATGAAAGACAGCGCGGGGAGAAAGGATCCAACATGGAGAAGATGAATACCCAAAGGTGGGCAGGGCAGGAAATGGAGATGCGGAAAGAAGTGAAGCAGCCAAGAGAGACGAGGATATGAAGGAAACCACCTTGAGATATGAGTCCTATATTACCAGTTTCCTCATTCCTCCATAACACCCCCACCACTATCACCACCTCTATGATGATGGGATGGAAACTGTAATGCATGATAGATCAGCGATAGGGTTCCTTATAGAGGAACGAGGGGAGGTGAGGAAGGAAGAATGAAAGAACAAAGACCGGAAAACATGTGTCTAAGGAATGGAAGGAAGAAGACTGGATGAAATAAGGGACAAAAGAAGAGAACAAAAAAAGAAGAGTAAAAAGAATATGTAAAATAACAAACCAGAAGATGGAGACTCCATTATTTCGGCATGTGGGTCCCTATGACACCCCAAGGACAGCAGGTGAATTAGGAGGGGGCAGATGGGAGGCCTCCAAGTCCTTGTCCCACTGTCTGTATTTCTGTCTGTCTGTGGGTTGGCTTCAGGTGGAACACAGCCTGCCACTCCTGCTGTCTAAATGAGGAGCCCCTCTCCTCTCTCTCTTTCCCACACACACACACACACACACACACACACACACTCACTGTATCTATCTCTCTGTCTGTTTAATGGGGCACTGGCCTGGGGCGCTGAACCAGCTCCCTCTGGAGCAACACACACAGCATGCACACACACTGATCAGACATTACAGACACTCCTGGATGCCCTTGCACATGGTGTGATACGCACACACACACACACCCACAGAAAGGGAGAGGCAAGGGAAACCACAGTCCCCCAAATTATGCCCCAGTCTGTGAGATGATGAATCTGGTTGGTGATTAGTTAGTTGAGAAAGGAGGCGCACTGCTTAGGCTCTCTAATGGGCTATAATTTGGAAGATAACTGTATTGTCCTATCTCTCTTGACATTTAAATCTAATCAGACCCTGCTGGTTAGCACTGTGGTCCAAGACGAGGGAGCCCGGGAGGGATGAAAGGCTGCTGGCGGAGAGGGATTGCCCCATAGTGGGACATTCATCCCTGTGGGCTGAAGCTAAGCAATTAGAAAACAAGGCCCAGGCACACACATAATGTCCCGAATTCCTTTTTTATTTATTTTTTGTTCAACTGACGATCAGTTTACAGAGTCTTGAATTCAGTAACAGAATAGCATAGCAACAGAGGCATACAAAGCCGCTTCCCCTTCCACACACACATGCCCACATCCACACAAACACCGCTGGGGAGTCACTCCAAGGCCTCTCCTCTGCTCCTTATTACCACAGATGAGATGCTCAGTTTGATTAACACTTCTCTTTCATCCTCTTCATTAGCAGTGGAGAGCCACTGCCGCAGCCGCAGCCCTTGAAAAGAGGGCATGAATTAGAATCCACTTATTCCATAGACTGCCACTAATTCCGCACAATGGCGGGTAATGGCGGGGAGTAATAGGAAAAGGGTGTTTCTAATTGTTTCTTTGGAAGGTGCAGTGCTTGCTGCAGCAGCTGTTTCTGCACAGCACACCAGGCCACTCAAAGAGCCTGAACAAAGGCCAGCGCCGGCGTTGGAGGGCCTGCACGGCTCCGTTCGATAGAGCTCGCGAGCAATAAATGCGTGTAGACGAGCCAATTTCCTCTGGCGAAGCGTCTTGCCGAGTGGAGGAGCTGGGCCCCAGTCAATGAGAACCACCTGGTGCTGAGGGAAGTGATTAGGGTTGGCACCACAGTCAGCGAAGAGCTGTTTTGTTAAGGAGGATTGTGATGCTGAGAGGAGGAGGCCGGGGGGGGGGCTAACCCGAGTTTGGTTTGTTGGAGAAATATTGACGCAAGGTTTCTGTCAAAGCGAGATCTAAGGCACAATGTTGTTTTGTTGATGCTCAATTAGAGGGAATTATTTTGGTTACAGCATGTGTTTTGGGTTTTGACGCTGGTGCTGATTGCTGAGCGGGTTGGAGCGTGGGACATGCCACAACAGTGGGGTTGTGGGTTCAGCTCCCAGACAGACTACACACATACCAACTTAGAAGTCAAAATAGTTTAAAAAAAAAAAGAAAAGTGGCTAACCATGGAGAAGATGAACACTTTGTCTGCACTGATGGGAATTTTCTTGCAGCCACAAAAAAAGTCCGTAAATGCACGGAGAATGGTGATGATATCTGCGTGGTAAGAGGCTCGGTTGCAGCAGGGCCCACCCGTACTACAAACAGACTCTTTGGATAAAAGCCCCGTCGAATGGCATTCAGTGCATGTCTTACGTACTTAGTGTACGTCACTGTAAAATAGTACAATAGTCATCTTGAATGTATTAGTATATATAAACCGAGCCTGGCTAGGTGACCCCAAACCATTTTCTTTATATTGATGACTCCAAAACCCCCCTTTGTAAATATTTTCTTCAAAGGACCTCAGTCGGATCAAGAATATCTTCATTGTCCAACTGTGATTACTGTAGAAATGATCTCCTGATCAAAAAATGTTCTTGAAGGGATGATTTACCCTAAGAGTTATATGGTAATTTCTGTTTATAGGGTCTTATTTTCATCATTTTGGCCATCCTTTGTCAGTCATAAAACACTGTACTCACCAAAGTAGTTGAAGAAATTCCAACAGTGCTCCAACAGAGTCAGATGGGGCAAGAAACAAGCAGTCCTGGACCTGGAGGTTTGTTTAAGGCTCAATAATCGTCTGACTGCTTGTGTTTCTGCCCCGTATGACTTCGTTTTAGTGATGTGGCCGCTTTCCCAGATCTCAGCAATTAACTTGGTGAGTACAATGTTATTATTAACCATAGAAATGGCAGCCAAAACCATAAAAATTAGACCCAGTTTGTAATAAACCGGAATTATCCCTTTTAATTAAATCAAGCATGATTCTGCCGCTCCTCATTTTCTTAGAGACAACCCCCTAGAGCTCCACCTCCGAGCTGAGCCGCTGCACCGCTCATCTGAAAGCTCATTCACTTGGATGTTTCTTTAATTTATTTGACCTTTTAATTTAACCACATGTCAGACCCTCCTCTGCTACCTCGGACGGTCACAGTGGGCTCACCCCGTGTGTGCGTGTGCGCGTGTGTGTGCGTGTGCGCGTGTCAGTGCACAGCAGGAATGAATGTTTGTACTCACGCGGACACTCAATCAACTGTTGGATTCTAGTCGAGTCTCCTCCGCTGTTGTTAACATGACAGTTGTCTGACAGAAACACAGAGTACTGACGTTACTACGATGACTATCAGAGTGGAGTTGGGTATTTATCTCTTACTGATTCTGCTCATCAATGCCTCATCTGACTGAATCTTATTATCTAAGAATGGGAAGAAAACAAACATCCTCTATTTGAAACAGACTGATGCTGCCAATTGTCATTTTTGGGAATATTTTTGGTAAAATATAAAGTAGTATACTCTGTCTTACCGTTCATTAGTTGACTTGTATGATTTCAATTGTTTCCACTAATTATTTTTCTCCCTCTCCTACCATTAGCAGATTTTGAGGCATTATGACATAAAAACTACAGGAAATGCTAAATGGTGTTAGAAGGACTTCCTCTTTGCATTCAATTGTTACCCTGTAATATTTAACTGTTTAAATCACTAGTAAGCCCTCATTTTGCCCACATACACATACATATACACTGATGCATGTTTATCCAGTCGTGTACACTGAAGAGCAGAGGGTCAAAATGTATTTTCTGGAATCGATAAGCAGAATCAAAAACCATCTTTACTAATGAACTGTCCCAATTCAGTTCTCTTGATACCCAACCCTGTTTTAGAGAGGACGAGATATAAAGAGCCAACGACAGACAGAGGGGACAGATATCGTGACAGAGGAAGGACAGACAGATACAAGCAGGTAGAAAGCATGACAACTAACGAGTTACAGAGAGATAGATAACTACACGGACAGACAGATGCTGTAGAACAAACGGAGAGGGCAGAAATCAAAGCCATACATGGCAGGTAATTTACAGTGGTTCTGGAAAGGTACCACAACACTGTAACGACAGACAGGATGTGGACAGGCGGACAGCAGACAGACAGTTGAGGCGTAAACTTCTGTCTCTCAGTAACTTACAACAAATTACCAACAAAATGTGGAATTAACTAGCCCAACCGCTTAAACTCAATTACACTACAACTTCATGGAAAAATCCAGTCATCTCATTATTTTAAATGAGGAAGAGTTTCTGCTTCTGAGTGCAGACTCACAACTTCAGAAAATATGTTCCACAGGAATAAAAAACATCAACAATCTCCTACAAAACAAACTAGACTTAACAATACCGTAGATTCACAAAGTGCTCCAGCTGATAACATTATCTATGCAGAAAATAAGCAGCATCAAAAAAAGGCTCAGCTTCTTTATCGTCCCTACAACATGCCTAGAACAACTTCTAACAAGTGGTATTATTTTCTTTCTATTAGCCTAATTTAAGCCAAATGAAACGTGTAGTCCCAAGTATGATCATGATCCAGGGCTGTCATTAACTACAACTACTACATTTAGAGAATAAACTTAAAATGAGACTATAAAGATATTAAGACCAAAGAAATATTTCTATGGATCAAATGTTAAACATTTCTGATAAACTTAATTTGGAAAAAAAAAGGAAAACTAGAAAAAATATTTCATATAATGTCTGGAATCACCTCACACAGGTTAGGTCCATAATCTGTTTTTTTATAAAAATAAAGTTTATAGGTTTGATTTTTGTATTATTCCATTATATCTATTCATGAATATCATTTCATTCTATTGTTTTAAATTGTTATAATAGAATATTCTTTCCTAATTGTACTGTATTCTATAGGACCGTTTTCTTTTATTCTGTAAACCTGCTTTGGAACAGTGCTATATATAAATAAATTGTCTATTATTATGATAATCAAACTAACTACCATGAATATCTTCATCTTCACCAACTGCACCATCATCTGTGTCAGTATCGTCCTCATCCACGTCTTCTTCCTGGCTCTCAGGTGTCTGCAGGCTTTGTTTGTCCTCGACAGGCTCCTCTACCGGTCCGTGGGAGACAATGTCGACATCTGTCATGTGACCAGATCAGATATATACACGATTTTGTCGAAACTTTACCAGCCAAACACATGTTGAGAACACAGTCCGAATGACGGCAGGTTCCTTCACAAAGTGGCTACTGTGGCGAAGTGAGCGGTGAGACAGTCACCTCCAGCATTCATATTCAGTGTTGTCATTCAATTATCAGAAGTCAATCAGTGCCCAAAAGCTCTTTCTCCCCCAGAAGAAGAAAAACAAAGCAGTGGACAGTTTGGCAACCATGGAAACGACCCAGATTGTCCAGAAAAGCCCAATAAGACCTGTTCAGGCTCCACAGAGTGCCACCATGTCCCAGAGACAACCCGTCTCTTCTGAAACAGCCACACCCAGAGGTTACACAAACCATCCTTTCACATCAAAGATCACAGTATTTTCCGATAGAGAATGATTTGAATCCTTATGCACTACGAGTGTAAAGAACCTTTTCCAGCGTATGCACCTGGTAAGAAACTTTCATTGGAATGAATTTATAATTTATATTTCTAATAGGACTTCAGTTCTCTACATACAATACCTATGGTATCTATGGTACAGCACCTGGCTGTCTAAATATCCCTGAAAACTACATCAGTGTGTGATTACACAGGATTAACAAGAGTTTATATTAATTACAGCTAATGTTGCTCACTGAAAACAGTGAATAAACAGTAAGATACTGGAATGACAGCACCTGTACTGAATGATTGTACTCCACTAGCCTGATCTATTCCCAGTGCCTGTACCTCTGCACACTTTACACAACACATACACGTGTTATTGGAGTTACAGATTGTTGCACCGCACTAATCCCATAGCATCTCTGGTGTTTTTGCACGCTATGAACGTAATACATTTAACAAAGTCTTACCATGCCTGCAAATTCACATTTATAGCCCGATGAGTACATCAGCATGGACACCATTTCCAGTGAACATACTTTATCTAGATATCTTAGTTGCAATTTTGAGTAATCCTTATCAAAAAGGTTTATTTATGATATATTTGTATGTTAAAGTTAAGAGTATTGGTGGGCTCTTGTATATATTTCTGTATTAAATGTCCTAAAACTTGAATAAATGACTGATTTATCTTGCCAAAGGCAGCAGACCAGCTGTAGTAGTCAGTGGCCAGTGTGACTGTGTTGAGATTTCTGAATGTAAATCAGAGAAAAGTGACAGTTGGTTGTCTCTGAATGATTTAAGATCTTAACAGAAATGTACTGACGGCTTATGTGGCCTTTAATTCTCATGGATTCAGGAAAATATCACAACTGAACAAGAATCAACATTACACATCCCCTTAAACTACCAGAGGACACCTGAGGGCCGGACACAAAGCTACAATAAACAAGACCAAAACAGAAGAAGAGCCAGACTTCCACTGTGACAGACAGAGAGACAGATTAACAGAAGGCAAAGAGAGCGGTAAGCAACAGGAGGTTATGTGGACATCATGCAGGAACTTGTCATGCATCATTAGTGCAGGATGAGGAAGTGAAGTTAGAGACCACAGAAGAGAAAAACAGCGGCGAAGAGGACGAGTGTCCCAGAGCAGACCAGAGACGTGTGGACTCACCCAGACTGTTGTTCTCTTTAATGCTTTTCTCTTGTAGCTGTTCTAACCGCACTGTAAACAACAACAACAACAGCAGAGAGAAGCGTTGACTGACAGAAAGTCCCAGCCGAGCCTCCTGATTGGTCAAAGACATTTGACCGGGCCACTGGTTGTTATGTCAAATCTGAACGTGATTGGCTTGCAGTGTGCAGTCAGTTTGTTAAAAGTTAGGTCAGGACAGTGAGTGTGAGTGTGAGTGTGTGTGTGTGTGTGTGCGTGCGTGTGTGTACCCTGCAGAGCGGCGAGCCTCTCGTTGGTGAAGTCGTTGTCAGCCTGCAGAGCTTCGATGCGAGCCTGGAGAACCTGCTCCTTCTCCTCCATCTCCTCAATCCGCAGCTCCAACTCCCTCTTCTCCGTTGCTCCCCGCTGGGTCAGCTCCTCCTGCCGGCCCTCTGCCGCCTGGAGGAGGAGAGATGGAGGAGAGATGGAGGAGAGGGTAAAAGGGAGGAAGGGTAGACAGAGACAAAGAGAGAAAAGTGATAAAACGAAAACTATTAGTGTTTAAAAATACAATTAAACACCATACAGTATAAAAAACATTTTGTTTCATGATGATTCATTTCTTAATTTAGTACTATTTCAGGGAAATTAAATCCTACGTCATTCAGAGTAACATAAACCACCATATTCCAGTGTCTGTGCAGGTACCTTAATTTTGTCAGTGAGTTCTTTGATCTCGTTGACTGCGGCATTATACTTGTTGGCGAGCTCCCTCAGCTCTTCCTGGCCCCTCTCAGACATCTCCTTCAGGTGGGTGCACTCATCCTCTGTGTTGCTGAGCGAGCGCTGCACCACAACAGGAACAAAGAACATTTTGGTTTCACCAACACAGGAGCCCCATGACTCACAGCGGTTATGTTCTAGAGCACAAATAAACACGGCCACCGTCCTCCCTGCAGTACGTAAACTTGTTTTCATTGAAGAATAGACGCTAGATAAGCTCCACTACTTTGGTGATACACAAATTCCCTATAAATTCTTCACAATAAAAGTCCCAGGTTATGTAAAAGCTTTAATTATGAAGCAGCACAATCAGGAAATGTTGGGTTTAATGAGCAGTAACTTAACACAACTCCTATACAGAGAGAAACTAACCTTCAGACCACAGAGATTCAGTTAGAAGCTGCAAAAGTACTGAGAGCTGAACACAAAGAGACTTAAAAACATGGCACGGCCAAAAGTGCCGATAGAAAAGCCCTATATAGGAGTCCTACCTCCACCTCTGACAGCTTCCTGACCACCTCGATCTTCTCCTGCAGCACTCTCCTCAGAGATTCCTTCGCTGTCGTCTCATAGTTGTGTTTGTCCTCCTGAAGAGCCAAAAGCTCCTTACGCATCCCTTCCTCCGTCTGGGACTGTGAGAGGAGAGGATTTTTTTTTAAAGAGGATTATCAATTTGATTTGACATTTATCCATTTATTATAGGATAATTTGTTATTTATATCATGAGGTATTGTGACCGAGCCACAGTGTGCGCGTTACCTTAGAGTAAGCCTGTAGCTGACTGCCCATCACCTCCAGTCGGGAGAGCAGACGGTCTTCATCGATCAGAGCCTGGTGAAGACACACACAACGTATTTGTTCATGTCAGTTGAGATAAAAGGGAATAATGGGAAAACTCTCCCATGCAGAGTTGGTAATGTGGGGGGAAATTACTAAGTGCACAATCCATACAACATTAAATCATGGTCTAGATAGTTTTCTCTACAGACACTTAATCACTGAAAATGAATTACCCAGTCGTAATGACTTTGATTTTGAGATTAATGGGATTTAAGTTGGAGCGTGTCATTTCCACTTGATATAACCACAACAATACAATTCAGGTGCTGAATATATAGACATCAGCATGTGACTACAGGAAACACAATACCTTTTCAGAGAGCGGGAAATTCATCATATACTACATTAACTCAGTGATTAGTGCGATTACCTTTTTAACATAACCACCAGCACGCACAACTCAGAAGACCTATCCTGACATTTGTACCTCTCTGTGTTACAGTACAGGGTTTAAGTATGATAATGATATTTCCTACCTGCCAGCTGCTCTCTGAGGCCTCCTGAGTGTTGGCTAACAGACGCTGCAGAGTGGCAAGCTTCTGCTCCAACATCTGCTCTCTGTGTAAGGCCTCCTGGCAGAGAGAGACAGGAAGAGAGTGAGGGAGAGAGGAAACCAATGAGAAATAAAGAAAATGAGCAAGATCAAAAGCAACAGGGTCATTTTATAGTGAAGAGAGCAAAGTCTACACTTTTATTTTAAACATGTTCATCTGTAAACATTTAATTAGAAAAGGCTTTAAACCATTTTCAAGAAATCTGTGTTCAAACTGTTGACTCATGACACACACTTTGGGCTGTATAATTAATTCAGTTCTAATCAACGCGACAACAGCATCTTCAGATCACTACGAAGAACTGAGCACAGTTCCTACCCTACTCTGCAGAAGACACTTAAAAAATGTTCACAGCAGTTAAACGTTAAAATGTTCAATGTGTTCAAACATGTCTGATGACTAATGAAGAAACAACTTTATTGCAACTTTACACATTATTTTGAGTGTAGTTCTGCAGATTGAGCAGTAGGTGTCAGTGTGTTACCTGTAGATACTGGGAGAGCTGGAACAGTTCCTGAGAATACATACTGGGAGTGTTGGCTGCAACCTAGAAAAAACACACACACACCATGGTAACTTATTGACAGTTGTCTTGAGTTAATTCAGCCTTGTGTTTGAACTGAAGGTGGTCAAAGGGAGGAAAAACCACAGAGGTCAAAAGCCAGGGAAGAAATACATGGATACATTTAAGTCTCACACACATACACCCACACCCACACACTCGCTGTTTAAGTATTCAGAGGCCCTAAAAACTACACTACAGGCTCACATATACAGAGTATACAGTAGTACCATCTATCTGTCCAAGCATGTGTCCATCTAAAACAGTAGTTCCAGCACAAAACTGCCCCTAAAACCACCCACTGTGTTTTCTACATTTCCAGTTGTATACAGATTAAACGAAAATAGACTTAACATTGCTGATCAGTGAGCTTTGGGGAATCAGAACCAGGATCAGCTTGACTTGGCCATTTAAAGAATATGACTCCTGTTTAAAGTTACATTTGCTGTATTTTTAAAGTTAGGACAGAGGCAGGCTAACAGTTCCCCTGTTTCTAGTCCATATGCTAAGCTCTACTCCAGCTATGTACTTAACACGCAGACATGAGATTCATATCCATCTGAATATGTTAAACTATTTCTCACCTGATGGTGTTGCAACTACATGTTAAAAAAAGACTGACGTTGCTGAAAGCAAGTCTATCGTGACCCGTTTGGTGACCACAACTTTGCCTATTTCAGACACTGATCTTGAGTGTACTGTAGTGAAAACACAGCAACACGTGGTGTGTTCAAAAACCCCACATTCTGTCATTCAATAACTTCCACCTTAACTTAAGGTGGAAGTTATTGTGACAGCCTGTGTGTGTGTGTGTGTGCGTGTGTTTCTGAGAGTGTGATTCAGTTTGTGTGTCTGTCTTTTCAGACCCAGGAGGTGCAAGGATCCTGCTTTAGGACACTTAATTATGTTATAGAAGTGGTTCAAATCTAATCACAGCTCCTCCATGACACACACACACACACACACACACACACACACACTGTCAGCTCCAGCCTACATTCCTCAGACAGGTTACACTGAGGCCCTGTTGTTCTCACTGTTGGAGGGAAACACAGAACAGGGAAAGGCAGCAGAGAAGCCAATATAGTACAGTGTGGTAAAGTACAGTATGGCCACTTAAGCGTAAACAATGTAAATATACATATTATCTACAAAACACTTTTTTTTCATTTAACAAAAGAAGCCAAAAAGTTCTCAAGTACAAGATTTTGTTCACAATTTCCATTCATCAGGACTATCTGATCAAAAACAACATTAAAAATATGTTCTTGTAACCCCAAAGCAACAGAATCCCAACATATAGAGAAAATCCTCCTGATTCTACAGTATCAGAACCCTGTTTCAGCTCCGGACAGAGAACAAGATAAATCAGCCAATGTTTTTAACTTTGGAGAACAAACATTTGAAGTTACACTAAAATCACATTTAGTCATCCCTTTTTGTAGTCAAAAATAATGTCAAGATGTGTTTTAAATTGTTAATGATACATGTAGCCTACATGTCATGGGCAGACAGCGTACAGTTAGCAGCATCGAAGAGTCTGGACTACAGACGCTAACGTCCAAGACGAGATGTGCGTTCATATTTGTAAGATAAGGAGACTTTTGCAGGAAAGCAAATGTGGGTTGTTGTTGTGTAGCAGGCTGTGGTCTGACTCTGTGTGACGCTCTATAACACAGACGTTACTGCTGGGAATGTAAAGATATGAATCGCAAGAGTTAAACTGCGATACAAATGTGTCACGATTCAAACCAGTGAGATGAAAAATCAAGGTACAAAGACTTCAGTTTAACTTTTACAATACAGAGTTTATACTCTACCCCAGAAAGAAAAAAGAATTCTACAATTTGATAAAGAAAATAGAGAAAATGTATTTTGCCAATTTGTGTCTGGGAAATAAAGGACTCTTTTCATAGTCATAACAAGTATTCAATCTCATTTTATTATAAAAAATTCAATGAAAATACCTTTCGTGAAAATGATCAAATCGTGTTTGAGTTTATTGCTACAATTTCCCTAGTACTACCCATTAATTTGATTGGCGTATCAAAATCAGGTCTCACCTACATGGAGGATCGTTAACGTATCATAAAACCAAAAAATAGAAAATGAAAATATCTCCTCATTGGTTCCTCATTTTTCTCAAAGAACAAACACATTTACAGATTTACAGACATGCGTGCTATAGGAGAAAAATGCAATGTAATTTCAGTTGGACTTTAGTTTTGTAGACACCTAAAGACACAAAGCACTCTGGGTGAATGGTGGGAGAGAAAAAAAACTTGGCCCCCTGATCCACATGAAAGACTTCTGTAGTGCGGCAGCAGAAACTGGCAGCAATGCCTGCATTCCTCTATCAGCTGACTACTCCACTCATTTTGTGTGTGTGTGTGTG